AGCCCCAAACCCCAAACCCTAAGCCACCAACCTTGAAGCATCACCCCTGTTTAAGCCCCCAACCTGCAATCAGAACTCTTCTAGCTCGCCCTGGCCACGTCCTGCTTTCCAGTTGAGCACTGCTCAACGAGACCCCAAGCCTGGACAAACAAGGTTTTAGGGGTTGGGGAGTTTTGGGTTTAGGGTTTAGGGTTCAGGGGTTTGGGGAGTTTTGGGTCTTAGCAACGTTTTTCGGAAGAGCTTGGAGCAAGAACACTTGGACTCCCTTTGGAGGTTTAGGGTTTCTCATGGTTTAATTGGCTTAGCGGCTTTGCCGCGGGGGAAGGGTGGAAACGGTTTAGGGTGTAGGCTCCGGCGCGTTCTGGGCCTAGATAGGGTAGGCTCGTCTGTGATGCAGAGGCCTTCACTCCGGTTTTATTCTACAGGAGCGATCAGGGGCTACTAGTGCTAAGTACTCTGATATCTGTATTCGTTAAAGGTATATGATAAGCTCTCTACACAGGTACAACTATATACTTTTAGTTCCGAAGCACTTGAAGAGCAAATAGGCATGGAACGGAATGAGGTTTGGCTTGGGAAGAGCTGCGTGCTGTGTTGAGCTCGCACAAACCTCGTGGTTCTGTCCACTAAGCCCTAAACCCTAAACCCTAAAACCTAAATCCTAAACCCTAAACCCTAAACCCGGTTTAGGGTCTAGGGTTTAGGGTCTTAAACCCCTGAAGGTTCCCTTGAAGGGTTCCTCTAAAGGGGATCTCCAAGGGATCTCTAGGGGCCACTGAACCCCAACCCGTCAAGACTGAACCCCCAAAATCCCAAACCACTAGTCAGACTGCACCTCCAAAGCCGTCAACAACACAATAATATAGGGGCATTAATGATTAGAATAGGGTTTGGTGTATACTATGTTAAAACTATAATAATTAGTATAAGGAACCCCCAAAATACTATTTCTTTAAGTAACTGCGTGTTAAGGCCCTTTGTTCAAGCTCTAATTCCTTTTCTGGCGACGCAGCGGCACACGGGCTCTGCGCAGTCTGCATTTAGGATGGAGACGAAATTAGGTTCGCCCCCCCCCCAGGTGCGAACGAACCCTTATGAGTTGGAGGCTCTCAGCGGTTAGTAGTTCTAAAAGGCTCAATTAGGGTTATGAGTCTGAGGTTTTGGCCTGGGAACCGGAGTATGAATTCTGGTGAATAGAGCTTCGGTGGCCGGATCTACTCAAATGGCACCTGCGAAGGGGATCCAATGTCAGCAGTTCCACGCTGCGCTGTCTCACGAGGCTTTGCAAAGCGGCGAGAGTGCGGGAGGCTCCAATGAATTCCTCAACGCAAGCTCTCACGGCGGGGCATGCCAGTAGTTCAGCTGGGTGTATATAATACAGAATACTTGGAATAGGGTTTTGGGGTATGTTAAAATACCATCATATTCGGGAACCCTAGGGAAAACAGACAAACATGATGCATCAGTTTCTTGCATCAGGCTCTACTTCACGGGGTGTAGAAGGATGAGACCGGCAGGAGCTTGTTGACGGCAGGGTTCAGGACGGAAATGCAAGTGATTACGAGATTGTCATCCAAGAGCCAGTTAACTCCGCGCATGCTGGTATGTTTACTTGGAAGACATGTTGAACAGGACTGGCCATGCGGGAAAATCTGCTTCCGACAGGAGCCACAGCTGTACAACTTGGCTCAGGGGAAGCAACAAGCGATGCTTCTGGTTCTGTTGAAGCGAGGGCGAAGATCAGGCACCCATGAAAACTACACTGCACACAACACTCAAAGTACCGGCTTGGCCATGTAGAGGTTGACGGCGCCATAAGCAAAACCTGGGACATCGCTTTGGGGTTTCTGGCTTAGGGTAGTATTTGGCAGAGTATCTGATCATCAGGCACTGGGACATTCACACTATTCCCAACGGTTCAAGTGTCTACTATTTCCGAGGGGTGTGCCTTACGACTAAGGGGTCGGTCATAAGCTACTAGTTTGTACGATTGGGGCGACTGAGCATGCTTGGCTTGTCTACTCCTTTTGTCCTGTATCTCCTTCCCTTCCTCCTTACTTCATTACTGACGCTGCAACGGACCTTAACCCTGACACGCCCCCTATTAAACTTCTGGATTTCACCAGGTGTTGGAGTGTTTCTGATGGCTCTATCCGTGCTTTCAAGCGTCCGAAAGGCCTTGCAGAAATCCTCTACAAACTTGTTTCAACTGCTCCAGCACTTGATCAACAAGTGCGCTCATACGCTGCTCTCTACATCTCCCGGAACGTCAACCTCCACCTTCAGGCCTGGCGAAATCTCTCAAACCTACGCAATGCCCTGGGGAAGTTCAAACCCTATACAACCTATATTATTGTTATCCTACATCCAAATGCCGATTTACTGGGTCCTTTGCACCATGACGGTCCCTTCTGAATCTCAATCAAACCCCTCACAAAACCCTTATATTTTATACCTGTAGCACCCCTACTTCTCGGGTCCTTTGGAGCCTTAGACTTACGGTCCCCCTAAACCCCAAACCCCAGACCCTAAATCCCTAAACCCCGAACTCTAAGCCCCTAAACCCCAAACTCTAAACCCCTAAACCCCAAACTCTAAACCCCTAAACCCTAGACCCGAAACCCCGAACTCTAAACCCCTAAACCCTCAACCCTAGACGCCAAGACCCTAAGCCGAGGCCCAAGGGGCTGGTGATGGTCTCCACCGGAAGGCCCGCTCGGCCCAACTCTGCTGCGAATTCCATGGGCTTCCTCGGGCTATAGGGTTTTAGGATTTAGGGTTGAGGGTTTAGGGGCTTCCTTGGGTTTAGGGTGTAGGGTTAAACTTCAGGTTCCCAGAGGTTTTTTGGGGGTCCTGGGGTCGTAATGGGGTGTTTATATGGTCTTGGGTTTTAAAGAATGGTGGCAGGGGATTAATGAGTTGCTTCAAGGGGTGTTTACAAGTAGGTTGAAGTCGGCCCCAGATGGCAAAAAGTCGCCCCAAGCCCTGCATCACACGGCATGGGAGCGAAGTCACCCCAGGCGGGGTGATGTCAGCCCAACAACAGTTAAACTTGAGCCATTCCGCAAGGGCACGCGCATTTTTGGAGTGTTCGTGGCTTGCACCCCAAATGCCGGGTGCCCTGCGCATGGTGGGTTGAGAAGCCTCATTAGTGGCAAGAATACACATGACTCTATGCTAAAACTCGAGTGTGCTCGTTTTCACACGCATGCCCGCGAGACATACGTCGTTCACATCAGTAGTAGGGCTTGTAAGGTGGTTCTCGAACTTAGGGCATAGGTGTGTTAGTACTTAGGCTTGCATGCAGTATACGATTATACCTTAAACAGACAGGGCAACTGAATGTAAATGGTACTTGCGATCCAAGTTCCAGCCTGGATTTAGGACTGGCAGATGCTGGGCGCAAACCTCACAACCCCCTCGACTCCAGTGCTTGTCGAGGGTCCGCGGTGTAGGGCTTAGGCTTAAAGTAACCGGGGCATCCAAACTCTCCAAACCTGAACTGGAAATCCTCAAGTACCCCAAACTTACCAAGGCCTGTCTTTCGATCCCTGCTGAGACCAATATGGGGGTTTCCCAAAATAGGGGACCCTAATATAATACCCTAAATAATAGGATCCTTATTATAAGGACCCCAAAATAAGGTACCCCCTATTTTCGGAAAGTCCCATATGTGATAGGGTTCAGGGGTGTAGGGTTTAGGAGGTAAGCCATTTTCATGTGGAATGTGGTGCTCGTGCAGACCAGAAGCGGGAATCGCAGGATGGACCGCTCGAGGTAGTCCTTAGCTCCTATCTTCTTTGGCCCGATCGAAAACAAAACTTATGTTTCCACTGGGCTGTCACTTGGGTGGATGTACACGTCTACACATCCCCATGTATATGTACTATGTAAATATATATATACATACACATTGTGAACAATGCCGTTTACGAAACTGACGTTCAAAACTCGCTCCCGAGTTGCAACTGACTCTAACACCTTAACCAGACTGAAGCCCTATAAACTCGAAACCCTGAACCACACATCCGAATTCCTAAACCCGAATCCCTAAATTCCAAACCCTGAACTCCACTCAAAGAGTCATACTCGTCACCACCGGAGCCCATTGTCGCCACCCAGCCGATCAGAGGAACCTCGCTTGGGTTTCCTAGAACTTTACAAGGGCTTCTTGGAAGGTGGCCATTGGGGCGGCTGTTAGGAGCCCAAGGGGCTTCTAGAAGGGTGTATGCTTCAGGGATTGTAGTTTATGGAATTTAGATTTACCGGGCCAGTGTTTAGAATCTGTGAAGCGTCCCTAAACAAACCCTAAACTCTAAACCCTAAACCCTAAACTTAAAACCCTAAACCCGGGTTCAGGGCTGAGGTGCTGAATCCCATTCCGGGATCAGGACGGGCTGAGGTTTACACAACGGTTCTGGATCGGGACCGATGGTCTTGGAATGTGTCTGGCTGTACTAGCGTGGCAGCTTAATTGGGGTGAATGGATCCAGTGTGTCGAGTTTACGGCTCGGAGGATCGGATAAATTCTGTAGGCTTCCAATGTGGAGGGTTCATGGAGTAGGATCTGAAACCCTAGACCCTAAACCTTAAACCCTAAACCTTAAACCCTAAACCTTAAAGCCTAAACCCTCAACCCCAAACCCTCTGAGTCTCAACGGACGTTTACGTGTTGGCTTAAGGCCGGCCCCGGGTTGCTGATTCAGGTCCGAGCTTCGGGGGTGTTTGGGTTCATGAGCTTACGGCCCCAAAAAACCCAAAGAAGGACGTCAAGGTCGGTTTAGGTTTAGGGTTTAGGGTTCAAATTTACAGCTGTCTGAACGAAATCTTTAGTCAGCAACCCTCCATCCCAGGCACCCGATTTGGAATCAACAAAACTCTCGTCAGAGCCAGTAAGAAAACACTGCGACCGGAGCCTTCGACCGCGACACTTAGTAGATACTCGTACAGACTCGAAAAACAGATAATTCCAAAGATACGTACAAGCGCAACTAAGGACATGTAAATGCATGTGTCGTTACTTGGGTCAGCATATGTGTACATGGAATGTATTAAGGTAGCTGCGCTTGCATAATTCAACACACATACACACACACACACAAGTGGTCACAAGCGTGCACATATTACATGTATACACAACAAGCACCGCACATTATATATATATATATACACACACATACACACACACACACATATTATACACATGCATGCACAAATCTGCATCTATATCTGAATTGCACCATGTAGCCATCTAGTTTCACATCTTAGACCTTGAACCCCAGACCCCCCAAAGACCCTAAACCCCACAGAACCCTCTCGAAGAACCCTCGCAGGAAATCTGGTCTAACTGGGTAAGGCCACTACCGGTCACATAAGAAACCTCGGGAAGCGGTATAAAACCTTAACAAGCACCCTATAGAACCAAATAAAATCCTAAACCCTAAACTGTAAACCCTAACCAGCAGAAGCCTTGCTCAAACCGCAGCCGAAGGTACGACGTGCGTGATGAATCCTCTGGCCACCTCCCAAGAGCTTCACAACTATTTAAGTTTAGGGTTCAGGGTTTAGGGTTTAGGGTCGGGTTAAGGCCTAGACGGGTCAGCTCCAGGCGTTCGCTCTGGATTGGAAGATTAGGGAGAGATAGGGTTTAGGGTTTAGGGCCGTGTGGGGTTTAGGGTTTAGGGCCGTTTGGGGTTTAGGGTTTAGGGCCGTTTGGGGTTTAGGGATCAGGGCCGTTTGGGGTTTAGGGTTTAGGGCCGTTTGGGATTTAGGGTTTAGGAGAGACAGAGCTGAGAGTGAGAGTGAGAGAAAGCAGGGGGCTCAGACCTCAGTTGATCTTGACAATGTGAAAATGTGAGGCCGTTGATTTAGCCTAGGGCCTCAACTTGGACACCAACTCTTCGAATTATCCCCAAACCCTAAACCCTGGCCCCTAAACCTTAATCCCCAAAACCTAAAAGCTAAACCCTAAACCCTAAAACCTAAACCCTAAACCCTAGCCCCAACCCGGTCCGAAGTCTTCAATGCAGCAAAGACAGAAGGATGCGCACACGGGGTTGGGTCGGGGTTTGGGGTTTCGGGGGAGGTTTTGGGTTCAGAGCTCTCAGGCGCAGGCTTACAGGCTGTTTAGGGTTTAGGGTTTAGGGGCACCAGAATTCAGCCGGAACGCATGCCCAAAATCCTGCATGACAGCTGAAGGCCCCATTAACCATACCCCGGCTCCGGAACACCTCGGCCTTACGAAGATAAGTCCTCAAAACCTACAAACCCTGAATCTGTGAATCTTCTTCCCCAGTTCTAGAATCCCGCTAAAACTAAACCTAGGCATCTTAAACCCAAATCCTACAAAACCCTGAACCTTAAACCCTAAACCCTAAAGCCCTGAACCAACCACCCGGTCCGCCTTGGACAAGAAGGTCTCTCCACTGGGCAGGGACAACTCGAGGATGCAAACCCTGCTCGAATCCTGCGCGCTTCAGGCCTAATGTAGGGGCCTTAATAGTTTTGAATAGGGTTTGGGGCCCCCTTCTAGTATAGTTATAGCAAGGAACCATAAGGAATAACATTGGTAATTATTTAGGTTTCTATATTGAACCCTTAAAACCTAAACTCGGAGCCCTTGAAACCGAAAACCTTAAGGCTTAAATCCTTGTAGGACTTTAGAGCGTGTGATATGGTGCGAAAGTGTGTGTGTGTGTGTGTGTGTGTGTGTGCGCGCGCTTGTTCTTGCAAGGTGGCTGTCTGACTCTTCTTTAAGGCTTTCACATCTTTTCGCTTTCACTCCCTCGGCACCTTTGGTAATCAGAGGGCTCCTAAACCCTAAACCCATACCCTAAACCCTACGCCTAAACATCCCCACAAAAAAGGGGTCAAGGGACACTCGGCAGTTCAACGATTTGGCCACGGAAAGGCTCATAGACCCAACCGACTGTACCCAGCTGTGTGGCTAGTCTAGGAAGTAAGACGTTAGGAGCTGAAGAACGCTCAAACCGAACATTCGATTCGACGGCTAGGGTTTGGGGTTTAGGGCTGCTCACCAACCCTAAAACCCTAAACCTACAAACCCTAAACCCTAAACCCTAAACCTTAAACCCTAACCCAACTCGATGCTCGCTGTTTCGGAGGTTCCCAGCCGAGCCTTCTTGCGCATCACACGGCGCATCTCGGCCAGCGCCTCCGCCAGGGCTGGCTCCGAAGGCCCGATTCTGTAGGGTCTACCTTACCCATAGGCCCTAAAGTAGTTCCTTTTTGGGGTTCATATACAGAATCCTATAAGGTAACCCCAAAAAGGAACTACTATGGGGCCTATGGGTAACCCCGAAGAACCTACCCTTATAAGGGTTTTTTTTTTTTAAACCTATAATAAGGAACCCTAGAAAGGTAGGTTATTGGGGGTCCTGGTCGGGGCTTACATATCTCTAGGCTTGAAGACTTAGGGTTGAGATGGCTTGAGAACTTGTGGGCTTCTGTGGGTTTCGGAAACCTTCCTTCCTCACCATCGGGACTCCATCATCCGCAACAGGCAAAAGCGCCAAAGGCTATCATGATGTGCGGCAGGCTTCGGTGCTTAAGGGGTTTGGGGTTTAAGGTTTGGGTTTTTCTGAGAGTGTGTCAAGGATTTGGGGCTGATAGGTGTCTGTCTTTCGCTACCTATTCCCCTTGCTATCTATCTACCTGCCTCTCTGTTGCATTCATCTACCTCTCCTTGCATGCACGTGTGGGGAGGCCAGAATACGAGTATGTGATGCTATTATATCCGTAGATGAGTAGTTCTCTAAACCCGGGTCCCTTTTTGGAACCTAGAATAGCACCGCACCCTTATCAACAACAGGACCCGAAAGGAGACCCTCACTTAGAGAACTACCCCTTTGCCAATCACTGAACCATGTCCAGTTCTGCCAGCTCCGCGTATCGTTCCAGCGGAGCCTTCGGGCGGTCAGGCACGTTGCGGATGCCGAATGACATGCCTCAGTATGCAGAGCTGAGAGATTTAGGTTTTGGGTTTGGTATGGGTTCGAGTTCAGAGCGATTCGTATCCAAACTCGATCTTAGGCATGTTTTACACCCTAACCTGTAGCTCCTTTCTGTTGCATCCGAGAGGGAGGCTGCTAGTTGGCAAAGTTACGCCCTGTCGGCAGGCACTTCTTCTGCCACAAGCTGGCTGGCATGATGTCTTGCAAATCAAAGTAATTTCGGCTCATGGGTGTTTCTACTGCAGTGGGGTCTTCTGAACAGGACAGCCACCTGAGTCTAGCATGACTCCCGATATTCAGAGACCTCTGGTCTAGAATCTCTTGAGTCTTCGGCACTTAACCCCAAGCCCTCGAACCCATTTCCAACCACACCCTCAGCCCAAAGCCTTTCCCGACTTAATGCTTTGTACGGCACCCTGATCAACAGGACCCTAAGAAAAAGGACCCTACTTTAGAGAAGTACCAAAATCATGTAAACCGCCTGCTTGTGGCCGGGAGAAAAGTCCAGGTGCGAAAGGCGTAGCATTGCATGGCACCGCTCGGTTTTAGAGTGTCGGATTGACGGATAGATAGGCATGCGAGGATCAGAGTTTAGCGTTAAAAACTGTAAAACAGCTTCCGGCTCAGACTTCACGATTGCAAGAATCAAGGCTGATCAGATTGATAGTTAAGGCTTAGGAGTGCAACCGCTAAAGGTTTACGGTCAGGGATCGTAACAAGGCTCCCAGACACAGCTGCCTACCAACAAAAAAAGACCTTAGCCTCTCGCAGAGATGGCCCAACACCAGATTCAACACCACGCCCGACGAACGAGCCCCTAAAACCTTGCACTGAAGACCTCCTTTAATGTAGAGACCTGAAGAATCAGCATCTATGCTATCGTTATATGGGGCTACAGAGGGGGAACTGTTACGAATTATTCCGAACCCTCTATATTGAGTCAGTAGAGCTAGGAGACCCAAACACAATCAGCCTGCAGGCCGAAACCGTAAATCGCGGAATCCGGATTCAGAATCATCTACCCACACCCCATAACCACAAACCCGAATGCACAGCAACGCATCCCCATTTGCTTAGGTGCTGATCTTGTCGATCGATCCCGTCGCCGCCCCTGATCGCAAGACACCGCAGGCGCTTTGCATTCAAGTGGGCTGAAAGTTACGCAAACTTGAGGACGGCATTCACTTGTGTGCTTTGCTACAGACCGTATTTTATAGCATCATGATGATCACCATCAACATCGCCATCATCGCTATCATGATCATCGCCGTGATCATCATCATCATCATCATCAACATGACCGACAACATGATCACTAAACGCACAATCACCGTCACCATCAACATCACCATGACTAACCCTCATAATCACCAAGACCAAGACCATGACCACCACCACCACCACCTCCACCACCACCACCATCACAAGCACCATCACCGTAGTGGTCGCGATCAGCGTGGTGCACATCATCCCAAGTCATCACCAACCTCGACACAATCAACATCACCATGACCATCAACAACAACATACAGCTCCACAGCAACATTCGTGAGCGTGGTCACGGTGACAATGGCGCCGGTGGTAGTAGTGCTGTGGCGGTGTTGGCGGTGCTGGCGTTGGTGTTGCTCGTGCTGCTGGCGCTGGTGGAACGGCCTTCGTCGATCACGGTAGACAGTTGACCAATCAGAGTCAACCATGCCGCGTGTCGGTGCTGATGAGCACCGTGGCCCTCAAGTGCACTCCTCCAAAAAAAAGGCTCTGCCTGCGCTGGGGTCGGCAACGGTGCCCGCTGCGTCGATGCCCTGCACACTGGTGAGGTCCTCTGTCAGGGGTGAGGGCTTCGCTTGGAGTCCCTCCGACTATTGAGCAACCCCCATGCGGTTCATGACGGGCCCGGAACCCTCGGCCCATGCGTGCCCAAAATCGGGAGCCCTTGGCCTTCAGCCGTCAACGCAAACGCTTCGCCGTTAGTTCATATCCCGGAACTCCGCGAATCCCCACCTCAAGCCCTGACACTGATTTTTGCGACTCAAGCTCGAAAGTATCCTCCCTAAATAACCACAAATCCCCCAATAAGTTATCAATGAGCCCCAAGCCTCCGAACCCTTAGTTAAAGGAAACTACAGGTGGGGAGTTTATGGTATATAGGGCTTCTATAAGGCTTCTATAAGGTATATAGACCTTCTCTAAGGCTCCTATAATAAAGGTAACTACCCACCTGAAATGTCCTAGACTTATCCCAGAATCCTAAACAGCAGACCATCCTTCGAAGCAGTGTCGGAACCCCTGAACCCTAACCCAAATCCCCAAAACTCAGCTTGCCATATTCAATGAGAGCGCTCGACAAGGCCGGCAAGACCTTCGTCGCCTTGCAAAGCCCAGATCCCGACACTTTAAGTTTTAACCAAGGCCCCGAAACAGAGCAAGAACGTGAGATGACAACATGATTTCAAACCCCGAGTCACAACCCTAAGGCAATGTAAAGATTTGCTCAAGGCAACATGAACCAAAACTCAACCTCAAACCTAGGCCCCATAAACCCCTTGAGCCCTACACCGAGTACACTGACTGTAACCATCCCCCTACACCCCAAGCCCTAAACCCCATAAGGCCCCAGAAGCCCTGGCCCTAGATGCCCTATAGGCCCGGTCTACCCTTTAAGCCTTTAAGCCCTAAACTTCTAGACCCTGAATCCTGAATCTCAAAGCCCCAAACTCCAACTGGCGGAACTCCTATAAATCGTATGAGCCCCTTAAGCACTCCTTCAACCCCTAAACTTCTAAACCCTTTTAAACCCTAAGCCCTACACCCCTTAAGCCCTACATGAACCCTAAAGAACCTGCCTTTTTAGGCTTCCTCATTATGGCTTCTTTATATTACAAGTCCTTAAAAAGCTAGGTTATTTGAGTTTAAGGTACATTTCCAAATCCAAAACCCGAAACCCCAAACTTCCCTAAACCCCTGAAGCCCATAGCTTCTAAACCCTAAATCCTAAACCCTAAACCCCGTAAGCCCTAAAACTTCTACACCCTACACCCCTTAAGCCCTAAAGCTTCTAAACCGTAAACCCTAAACCTTAAGCCCTAAACTTCTACATCCTAAGCTGGCGGGACTCCTGCGCGTCGCCTTTGACGAGACGGACGACGTGATCGAGGCCGCTGGACTCCACCTCCAAAGGGCTTCGGGGTTTAGGGTCTAGGGTTTAGGGTTTTGGGGTTTAGGGTTTAGGGGGTTTTGGGGTTTTGGG